GATAAATTATAGTGATAAATGCAAAAACTAAATTGTAATCTTAATTTAACTAAAATATTTCCTAAAGATATTTTTATAATCTTTAAAAGTTTTCAAATAAGTAGCTTAAAATAATTTACAATAAAAATAGTTAAAAATAACTCTATATAAATGATTATATTGTTACCTTTAAAATCGAAAAACAATGTTTGATGTTTTGAATTATTATAATGATAGAAATTAAAACATTAATCAAATAAATTTTAAAAAATTAATTAACAATAACAACTATAAATAACATTAAACCATATATTATTAATTTTATTGATGTGTAACTCGCGGGTAGAAGTAGAAGTCATTCAAACGATTGAAATTATGCAGTTATAATAGATGTATATATTATCATATAATTCAAAATAATCAATATATTATATAAAGTTAGTATACAAATTATTATATCAAATTTAATAACAATGTTATTGTTATATTTAGAAAAAACATATATTTGTAAAGACTTCAACTATATAGGTGTTTCTGCGCAACGCGCGGACATTCGCCTAGTCTATATATAAACCCAGCAAAACTAAATATTTAGTATGTAATCACCCATAATGCCCAGGGTCGGCCTTATTATGGTTTTAATTAAGCTAGGGCTTAGGGCCCCACTTCTAAAGGGGCCCCATTTAACCCAAGAATTTTATACGTATGCTCCTAGTCCGCTACTTCTTTTGTGGTACGCTACCCACGCCACATTACAAAAATTATATTCATCAGCCAAAATTGATTAATTGAAATTATCGATTCTTGAATCTTGTTACAAGTGAGCGCCATTGCCTATTCTTCTTCCTTCTCTTCTATGAATCTCGATTCTTTAAAGTTGAAAACCGATCCCTGAAAAATATCTTATGTTCTTCACGTCTTCTTCTCTTCATAGTTCCTTCTTTGTTCCATGATTGAATATTGATTGTCCATCCTCTGAAAAATACCTTCCGATTCTTCATTATTGATTGTGCAAAAGACTCAAAACTTCAAGTCTTCAAGGCTGTCAATAAGACAATTAGACAAGAAGTCAAGAACTTAATTACTGAAACGGTATGTACAGGTTTCCACTTTCCAGTTTGGAGTAATTGAGTTTCCATTATCTGATTATGTATTAGGGTTAAATAATAGTCTATTTTAGGGTTATTTTTTTAAAAAAATTATCCATTGTCTAATTATGATTCTCCATTTTTGAGTAATTGAACTTTCCATTATTTGATTATGTATTGTCCTGATTCAGGTTAGGAACGAATTTGGTTGGAATTTGAGATTTCCATTATCTTCTATTTTCAAGACTGTCAAGAACTAATTGTGTCAAGCGGGCAAAAAATGTATTTTTTGCAAGGTTTTGAAAATCGGACCGGAGACCGAACCGGTCGTCTTACTGGTTCGATGGTTCAAGTGGTCCAACCGGTCGGACCGGTCTAAAAACCGGATGATGTCATAATTATATTTAATTATATAAAAAATACAAAAAATGAAAAAAAATAAATATTTTTTAAAATTTCCGGTTTTTACCGGTTCGACCGGTTTTCACTGGTTCACACGAATACCGATTTTTTGGCCTTTAAGAACCGGATCCGGGATCGGTCCCGGTTGAACCGGTCGAACCGGCCGGTCCGGTCTGGTTTTCAAAACATGGATTTTTTGTTGATTTGTAGTTGTCTACTTGTTTTGGTTCTTTTCCAAATGTATATGTTACGTTAACTATTGTTACATTGCCCGTGCAAAAAGAAGTTTTTCTAAATTAAACTTGTTAAAAAATTATTTAAGATTTACAGTGTCACAAGAAATATTAAATGGATTAGTTATTTTGTCAATTAAAAAACATTTAGCAAAAGAAATTAATAATGAAACTTTTATTAACGAATTTGTATCTAAAAATGCTAGAAAAATTAACTTTATGTTCTAAATATTTTCACAAAAAGCATATATATAATAAAAAAAATTTAACCGCAAATTATAAACTTTTTAGTTTATTATTGCTGGTCTCAAGCGCGGATAAAAGAGGAGGGTTTAGGCTGGAGGGAGTGATGCCACCGAAACCGCACTCCCTTCGTTGCCACGTAAACGCCATGTCATTTTTACCACAAAAGTGCGGTTCCTTGCCACACTTAAGGAGTGGTGCCACACTTTATTTAAAAAAATAAATAAATAAATAAAAACTTTAATTTCTCCCCACCCAATCACAAAACAGTCAAATTATCTACACTCAATCACAAGCCGCGACAATTTTTTGTCGCACTGCGGTTTGAACTGCACCAAACCGCACCCAGGGGGCGGTGTTCGCTGCTTATGTGGCGAAACCGCATTCCCTGGAACCGCACCACACCCTCCAGCCTTATAACATTAACTATAGTTAATGTCAAAAGGTCCCAAATTTTTTATTCGTTTAGAGTCCCTAAATTGATTGAGCCACCACTAATAATGCCAATAATATTGAAACTATATAACTGTATGGTTTTTTTTACATGTCGACGTCCGATTGATTAGGAATCATTACATGTGCACTAGCTTGTATTTACGCTTTTGCTTATCGTATATTGGTACATGTCAAATTTAAAAAGAATAAATTTTCACTACGTATATTTGTATCATCAAGTAATAACATTTAGGTTCCGTTTGATGGTTTCTGTCTGAGAAAGTGCTGTCTGGTAAAGTGCTGTCTGGGAAAGTTTTCTGATTGGGAAAGAAACTATGCTGTTTGATTGTACCATCTGATTGACTGTGCTGAATGATGAAAAAAAGTAATAATTCAATAAAAAATAAATTTAAAAAAAGTTATTTAAAAAAAATTAATAATCCAAGAAAGAAAGAAAGAGGCCAGGTTTGGTGCATAATTGTCTTTCCAGCCCATTCAGCCAGAAATATATGATTTTGGAGCTTTCTGGGAAAGACATATCTTACCGGGAAAGACCCTTTTTTTTGTGCAAATCAAACAGTCTTTTCGGTCCATTCAGCTAGAAAGATATGTTTGGACCTGGAAAGATGCGTATCAAACGGGGCCTTAATTTTAAGCCGTGTGGTTCGACTTTTGCGCACTGCACCGGAATTTTTTATTTTTTGCAAAACTAAAAAATTACACTAATGACCTATTACATTTTTTTGTTTTAATTTTTTTCATTTACGATTCTTTTTGCTTGTACCTAAACTGCTAAACATCTACTCTAATAAATGAAAATCTTTTTGCCACATGTCACATTCTCATTGATTTGACCACATGTTATTTTGTGATTAATTTTAATTATATTTTTTTTTCCACATGACACTTTGTGATTTTTTCCATTTTATTAAATTCCACATAATATTTAGGGAGAATTTCGTATATACCCTTATTAAACGTCATAATATTGTATTTATCCAGCGTAAGCTCTAAATATCGTATTTGCCCTTCTTAATGTTTTAAAATATCGGATTTGCCTAAATCTAGTTTTTAAACAATTTTTATTATTTAATAATCCTTTTTTGTATTTTAAAATCATTAAAAATAGAAAAAATCATTAATTGGACCATAATACCCTTGCCTTCTAAATCACAGAATACCTTTTTTCCTGCGACTTCGACTGGACGATCAACATAACAACGAATTGTCGCTGTCTTTTTTTTTTCTGCCTTCTCCTCGCCTAATATGTGTTGCAATCGACAGGTAAGTTTATTGTTTTATTTGTAAATGGAATATTCATTCGTGATTAGAAGTAGTCTTTTTTTGTCTTCTTCTCGCCAAGTCTTTGTTGCAGTCAAGTTTATTGTTTTATTTGTTAATTGAATTTTCAATTCGTGATTACAAGTATGGATAGCTTCAAATTTTTTTGAGGATGAATTTTCCGAATGAATTTGGAGTCGGCTACAATTAGCAAAATATTTGTTTGTTTTCTTTGTCAATTAAAAATTAAATATTTGATTACAGCTAATGAACTAATATGCAATTTATTGGTTCAACATTGTTAAGTTTTAGATCAACATTATGATATCAACATTGTTTGTGTGGTCTTCTACTACTCGTATAATCTTCATCTGATTACGACATCAGGGCAAAATAGAAGATGGAGAAAGGGCAAGAAGGAAGACAACGAAATTAAACTTTTGCCTTCAATTTATACCTAAACGAAGGGCGTATATGGAAAGGGCATTGTGAAATTAACACAGTGGTTTCAAGAATTCAACATTCTAGACACGTAAGTATTGATTCTGTTTCCAAAAAGAGAGGAGCATAAGGAAATGGAATAATTACCTGGTTCTTATCAACAATTGCAAGAATGAAGTAATTGCAATTGAAGGAACCGACAAGAGGCGAAAAAGAAGCCGCCGAGAAGTGAGCGTACATGGACGATCATGAGGAAGACGGTTCGAGGAAGACGACCAAAGCATAAAACCTAAAAGATTTTGGTTTAGAAAAGAAGGGTATTACCGTCCATTTAGACATTTTCTTTAGTCATAATGATTTTAAAATGTAAAAAATACATTATTAAATAATAAAAATTGTTTAAAACATAGATTTGGACAAATATGATATTTTAAAACATTAAGAATGACAAATACGATATTTAAAGTTTAGGCTGGATAAATACGATATTATGACGTTTAATAAGGGTATATATGAAATTCTCCCTTTAAATGTAATAATTTCAATAAATGTAATAATAAATGCATATCAATTTCAATAATTGACTTTCTTTCTAATTTCAACATTTTAAATTAAAACTTCATTAGTTTCTTTTGTTTATTTATCTAAATAATTTGTTTAGATTTAAAAGAGAAAAAAAACACTTTAATTTTAATAATTCAATATTTTTTTAATTTTTTTTATAAATTCAAACTTTTAATGTTTAGAATATTTATATTTATTTTCTGTTTAAACGAAGAGTATTATATTAAGAGTATAATATTACATCTAGTCAGTCGATGAAATCAAGTTAGCCCAAAAGATAAAGCCCATTTCCATGGCCTAAAGGCTAAAAAAAGACCTCTATTCGATCGCTCTCTACGATTTCATTTTTCTTTGTCTTACTAACTCTCTCATCGATTAGGGTTTTACTGCCTCCCGTTTGCGTTTCAATTTATTCGATAGGATCGCAATTCCTTTTAAAAATTTGCAGAGGTAATCATAATTCACCTGATTGTGAGTATTGATTCTTATTTACAGGACGTTTCAATTAATTTTATGTTTTTACCTGTAATTTGTAATTTGGTATCCGTGAAGCGAAAATGGAGATCGCTTATATCATACATGATTTGGTGAGATGACGGTGTTACCTATTTTTGTGATAGGTGAACGGCGATGTCTCGTGTGTATGTTGGGAACCTGGATCCACGAGTTTCCGAGCGAGAGCTTGAAGATGAATTTCGCGTCTACGGTGTTCTGAGGAAGTAAGTTTTGCTTAAATTATTTGTGATTTTTTTTGTAACAATGTACTCGATATTTGTTCTTTGTGTTTGTTCGTATCATCAAAGGTAATGGAATAAATCAATAGAAAAGGAATAAACAAGAAAACTTGTATCAAAAACATCGTGTATATATTGCTTGATCCATCTACGAGTTAAACATTTTCTCTAACCTTTTCGCTTTGGTATTCTGTGAATTATGAAACACCTTGAGAAGATATTGTTTATTATTTTGTAATTAACATTAAAGTTATAATAAACTTCAAGTGATGGTATATAAAACAACGTACATGCATATTTTGGTTGAACCTTGCTCTCTTTGTAACTTGCAATTTTTTAACTACTGTTATTTAGCTTTCATAATATGCCCAATATTTTGTTTTTGTCCTTTCAATAACAAACTAACTTTCTAAATGCTAACCTATCATTGTGATTGCACTGAATGCAGTGTGTGGGTTGCTAGAAGGCCACCTGGTTATGCATTTGTTGAGTTTGATGATCGCAGAGATGCACTAGATGCTATTCGTGCATTGGATGGTATCTTCTTCCTCTAGACAAAAGCATTAAAATTCATAGTCATAATGTTAGATATCATTAAGTTTTATAATTACATGTCTTATTATATGGCATCACAAATGTATTTGAATGTACTCAGGGAAGAACGGGTGGCGTGTAGAGCTCTCCCACAATTCAAAGGATGGTGGAGGCGGTGGGCGTGGCGGTGGTGGCCGTGGACGTGGTGGTGGTGGTGGTGATGACCTGAAATGTTACGAGTGTGGTGAGCCTGGTCATTTTGCCCGTGAATGCCGCCTACGTGTGGGCCCACGTGGGTTAGGTAGCGGGCGGCGTCGCAGCCCTAGTCCCAGACGACGAAGAAGTCCAAGTTATGGTCGTCGGTATGTCAACGTGTCTATCTTTCGATTATTATAAATGTTTAAAAAATTGGCTACTTTTTCATTTTTCCAAAGTTCTTTATTGATTATAAAGTTATTTCTTGTTTTTGGAATGACTTTGTGTTTGTTTTACAGAAGTTATAGTCCGAGATACAGTCCACGTGGGAGAAGGTCTCCACCTCGCCGGAGCATATCGCCTTACAGAGGACGTGCCAGCAGATCACCACCTCCATATCGCCGTGCCAGGCGTGATTCCCCATATGCTAACGGGTATGTTTCATGTTTATTTGATTTATTTTTGTTTTTTGTTTGTTTTTAAATGCTTATATAAATGCTTGTTTTCAGAGTTTAAGATGGAGTGAAGAAGGGATGGATTATGGAAGGAAGAAAATGGAAAGATGATAGGTTGGGGTTAATATGTTTTTTTCGTGATGAACAAATTTGGGGTAGGGTTTTATTTATTATATATTTATATATGAATGATGAATCATGATGATGATGATGATGATGATGACATTGTGGTGTGTTTGTACCTGGCATCCGATCTGGAACTGCACTTTATACCCGCCAAAAAGTGGTTGCTCATCGGCTTAGAGGTCCATTTCTTTTCTTAAATTGCTTTGTTTACTTTCTGTCTTGAAGTATGATATTATAATTATTAGTATTATGATATTTAAGTGTATTTTGTTTCTAAACATTTTTTTATTTTATATATTATGAGGTTTGGTTATCGGCTGAGAACCAACCAACGCCTTCATCATCCTCCTCTACTTTCTGCATCATCTTAGACTACTACTCTTGACATGGTTTTAGCTTCGCATCTTCATCTTCATCTCTGCTTCTTTTGGGCTTCTTCTTTGAAACTGCAAAATTTTGGTTATCAACTTTTTAGTGACACCTTGACTCTGCGACAAAGCTTCTCACGTCTTTAACACAGTCAGTCACTTGTCTTGGTTCTTTGTCTGCTGGTTGCTGAGCTTTTGTTGTTTCTACTCGCCAAAAAGGTAAAAACAGTGACTTGTTGACTGCGCCTTATACCGGGAAAATACAGGCAATAGTAAAAAAATGGGGGGTGTTTTCAAAATATAGACATGAAAATGGACATTTCCGGGTATAGACATGCATTCCGCGGAGGTAGCTCCGCGGAATGGCAAAATCGTAAATAAATTAGTGTATTAAAAAAAAAAAAACTGAAGATCCATTCCTCGGAGCTACCTCCGCGGAATGAGTTCATTCCTCGGAAGTAGCTCCGCGGAATGGATCTTGAGTTTTTTTTTTTAATACACTAATTTATTTACGACTGCCATTCCGCGGACCTACATTAGATTCCGCGCAATCCATGTCTATATCCGGAAATCCAATTTTTTGTGTCTATATTTTGAAAATATCTCCTATTTTTTTACTATTGTCGGTATTTTCCCTTTCTGCTGGGGCTGTGGGTCCTACTTTTGCTTTTGGGCTCTAATGAAACCAGTCGCCAACGTTTATGGATTATGTTGAATACGTCTACCTGGTTCATATGTTTGGTGTTTATTTTGACTTTGTTTTCTCCTTGAAGGTTGCATATGTAAAGTAAAGTACTCATGAATATGTTGATAATTAATCCTTGAATTCAAACTTTTTAATTGAGCAGGGTCCTAAAAAGGGTCCCAGAAAAAAAGATATTTTTTTTTGGCGCAGACATTTTAGTGCATTCGCAATGGTCACCATTATTATAATTTTTTTTTAAATTGACAAATCAATATAAAAGCTATCTTTAAAAACCTTCTCCAATAAAAGCTTTTCAAATAATCGTTCATCCTCATCCATAAATATACTCTAAGCTTTATGGATCTCTTTTGTATTTTTTTATAAGTTTTATAAGCAAATGAATTTATACTTTGGGAAAATGACTTGTTAAAGTAATTAACTTTTCGGTATGTTTACATCTGGGTAATTATCTTTTTTTTTTTATACACATCTAGGTAACAAACTTGTTGGAAGTGTTCACATATGACCATTATGACCAGCTCTAGCAGGTAAATCTTAGATGTGAACATTTTCAACAAGTTCGTTACCTAGATGTGTACAAAAAAATAGTTACCCAGAACGAGTAATTTACACGAATGGTCCTTGTGGTTTTGGGGAATTTATGTTTTTGGTCCCTAACTTATTTTTTTAACTCGGATGGTCCATACTGTTTATTTTTGTTGCACATTTGGTCTCTGTCTTACCTAAAATGACTATTGTGTCCTTATTAATTTATTTTTTTAATTAATTTTCTTATTTATGCATTTATTTTTTATATATTTAAAAAAATTAATAGACCCCACATATCTGTGTCTCCTCACTCTAAACGTGAAACCATATTTGAGAAAATTTAATTTGGGTCTCACCGGTCACCATCCCATCTCTCATCATCGTCAACTTCTATTTCTTTTTCATATTTAGTGACATCGACGTCTTTATCATCTTTCTTTTTTTGGTCATTCAACTCTGGCGAACCAACACCATAACTCACTGTCAACATGGGATGGGATGGTGAGGAGATACAGATATGTGGGGTCTATTAATTTTTTTTAAATATATAAAAAATAAATACATAAATAAGAAAATTTATTCAAAAAATAGATTAATAAGGGCACAATAGTATTTTTAGGTAAGACAGGGACCAAACGCGTAACAAAAATAAACAGTAGGAATCATCCGAATTAAAAAAATAAATTAAATAAAAAATAAACATTAAGGATCATCTGAGGAGATACATATATATGTGAGGTCTATTAATTTTTTTAAATATATAAAAAAAAAAATACATAAATAAGAAAATTAATTAAAAAATAAATTAATAAGGGCATAATAGTCTTTTTAGGTAAGACAAGGACCAAACGTGCAACAAAAATAAACAGTATGGACCATCCAAGTTAAAAAAATAAGTTAGGGATCAAAAACACAAATTTTCCGAAACCACAGGGACCATTCGTGTAATTTACTCTTGTTTATATTTGGGTAACTATTTTTTTTTGTAAACATCTAGGTAACGAACTTGTTGAAAGTGTTCACATCTAGGATTTTACCTGCTACAGCAGGTTATAATGGTCATATGTGAACACTTCCAACAAGTTTGTTATCTAGATATGTATAAAAAAAAGATAGTTACCCAGATGTAAACATACCGAAAAAAGTTAATTACTTTAATAAGTCATTTTCCCTTTATACTTTATATAACTGGTCGGATTGTGATTACTATTGAATGTATATCCCATACTTTGTTTGGTTTTCTAAATCATAAACAATCGAGGTATATATGACGTGGAAAAAAGCCCTAGTCCAACCATTTCAAATTTGGATAGAATTACATCCCTGATTCTTAAATTCAAATGAGTTTAAAGAGAATTTAAATTTCAATATTTCAATCTCAAAAATCATAAACAGATTTCACCTGTTTTGTTTTGCGACTTTATTTTGAATAAATTTTCGAGATAATGTATTTTAAAATAGATTTACATAAATTAAATCTTTTTCGAGTTTAGTGTTGACAAATAAATTACATATGACCTTTAAAAAGATAAAAAACGATTGGCTTTAAAACCCAATGTAAATTGGAATATAAATCACAATTTAAACTTATCGCTTACTGCAAACATGATAAATAAGATATTGTAACATGGTGGTATTTAAAAAATTGTGGATATTGTTCTTTTTTTATGTTTTTTTATTTATTTAATATTTCATTAATTATAAAGAGAATAACAAATAAAACCCCACTTCATCATCACATATTCTTCATCTGTAATAAAACCACATACACATTTCGTATATAGATATGCACACTGAAAATTAAAAAAACCCACATATAATGGACCCTGCAACTCAAAAGCATACATACATCACACACAGTTTGTGAATTTAAAATTTAAATACGTACACACCAACCAACTCTAATAAATCTTTCTCATATTATCGACACAGAAAGTAGAAACTACTATGGCCAATACGTTTCCATTGCATGCGACTTTACATTCGAGGCATACGAGGCATCTCAAGCATAAACCGTTTGTCATTAACATATGATCTCTGATGCTAAGGAGACCTTTTCAACCATGAGTAAACACAACAATCTAAATATCATCCGACACTCAAACATCTTTTATAAGTATATCAAAATCGTCACGACCATATGTAACAGAAACATAATTTCTCATATCCTCCTCACATCGGATCTTTTATTCTATCACATTCTACGTGGCCAATTTTGTGGTGTATTCTAACAACATTTTCTACGTGGCAACTAATATCATGTACTTATGACGTAGCAACATATGTGCATTCAACCATGACCAAAATTTGTATCATTATTTGGCCCCATCTATGGGGCCGGACACGAAACAAGAATAGAAAAATGAATCCAATGGTTGTATTGTTTGGTCTTATTCCAACAATGACAACTCTTAAGAAAGGAGCTGGTCTGAGCCGATGGAACAAACACCTTTGGTTCACAAATGAGGCCTCCTGAAGTCTTGATCATATTATATGTTGGTGCATTTCGTAGTTGTGTATTACACTGAATGCCAATCCTGTTTGTTTTGGTGATAACAAACATTAAAACCAAATTTTGTTATATTATTAATCAATTTACTTGGTGTGAAGATTTTTAGGGAAGATAGAACGTCAATTTAGCGTATTGATTCTACATCAGATTATGTATTCGTTTGAGATGTTTAATTCTAAGTGATGGACTCATCAACCTTGTTTCGCCTATTGAACTGGCGTCGGTGATTAAAGTCGATGGAGTGCAAGTGATCTCGATAGGTAGCCAATTGATTGCAACAATAGTAAGACTTGACCAGATAATTGTTCAGACGAACTTGACTCTCGAGTATGTAGCACATCGTGGTGGTACAGAATGAAGAATACACATAATCAAATAGATTGTTAATTCCGATCTCAAAATAGAAGATTTGATGTGGTGAGAGATTGCCTTGGCATTGCAAAGAAATTTATCTAACCATGTAAATCACCGGTTTGTGTGGTGGTTCTTTTTTTTAAAAAAAAAAAAATTTTATCGTCGTGTATATGATTGTTGGAAAAAAACAATATAAAAATAGTATTTAGTACAATTGACGTTGCAAAGAGATTTTTAATAGTTAGAAAAACATATGGTTAATTTTAATGACATGGTATGTCATGTGTAAAAACAAATTGAAAGACCAAAAAACTATCATTTTTGATGGTTTTATTAGTATTATAATATATTTTAACTAGAAAATTTTAGGTTGCTATCTTTGATAGCTTGGATGCTACATATAGCTAGTTATTTTCATCAATATATAAAACAATGGAAAATCCATCAAATCTTTGTTATGTGTATTTAACCCGTTTAACAATGGTAATAATGTAAGGGTGGTGGCTATTGATGTGACAAAGGAAGATGGTTGTTGATCCGACGCTCCTGGTATCGGAGGGAACACCACCACCCTCCTGCTAAGTGCCATCACACAAAGGAAATTGAAGCAACCCTCCTGCTAGGAAGGTGGGAACAAAGAAGAGAAAAGATCTGACAGGAAACAAACGAGTTGCTGATATGGTGCTTCCGAAATGCAGGATTAGAACCTGACCCTTTCAGTATGGTGGCTTGGGAGAGAGGCACGACATTGATACCATCCATCCTAAGAATTGTTTGTTTGTTTGTTTGTTTTTTTTTTTTTTTTTCAGCATTGCGATCATATAATATTAAAATCCAATTTGACAAAAAAATTACTTTCGTAACAAAATTTTAAAAGTAGGAAAAGAGTGAAAACAAAAAGTAGTTTAGGGACCATTCGGCAAAATTATATTTGTAAAGTCTGAAATCAAAAAAGCAAACGGAAAAAGGAAAACCTCAGTTTGCAATTTTCACTTTTCAAGGCGAGAGAGATGGCGATGGATGGGAGCAGCGGAGGTGAAGAATTCGCAGTTGGATGCCTGCTATCGATAAAAACTACTTTTGGAGACGAATTTGAAGGTCAAGTCATAACCTACGATCGCCCTTCTAACATTGTCGTCCTCCAAGAAGGTTTGAAATCGAACCCACAATCACGCCGCAACATTAGGTTACTCAAAGCCAACTACATCAAAGAGTTTTCCTTTTTGGGTCAATCTGATGATCCACTTGATCTCAAGAAGTGCTATCTCGATCTCAATTCACTCCAATCTAAAGAAGATGCCGCCGTTAGGTTAGTAAATCGATTTGTTTATGGAATCCCCCGCCATGTGTTTGTAAATTTGTCTCAATGAATTTAGCATTCTTCTTTAAAGCCAAAAGATGATACAGATTTACTTGCAGATTTTACTCGACTATAACAACACTATTAACTATTTTTATTTTGCTTTAGTTAACAAATTCAAATCGATCTTCTTCAAGTATAAATTTAACTACTTTGACATTCAAAATCGAACTCCTTGTTGCTCTTTCTATGGTGGTGGGTTTAAAAAATCTTTCTTTCCACAAGTGCTTTCCATGTTTTTGTGAAATTATTTAAACTAACATATTAAGAAATCGAGATGGGTCGTTTTGTTGGAGTGCCTGCCTTGTGTTTTCAAAATCAAATTTGTTTCAACTTTCAATAAGCTTTGGTGGAACATTGAGATGGTGTTTCATTTGAAGCATAAGAATTACCTTTTTAAATGCCTACCAATTGTTTGTGAGAATGCTTGAATGACTTGTATTGGCGAGTTGAGATTGATGTATTTTGATTGGATTAATTACAGACAAGCAGAGATAGACGTTGAGAGAATTGGGGTTGGTGTTACTGCAGAAGCTCAGAGCATTTTTGATGCTTTGTCTAAAACGTATGCATCTCTTTTTTTCTCCTCCCTTTGCTACTCCTTACTTTAATATGTATCTTTGATCCCTATATATTTATTCTATAGCTCCTTTCTTACCTATTCAATTTGTGTTTCTAATCATAGTTTAGACCCTAGAAAAGCATGCTGTGATATAGTTTTTGATCTTTAATGATCTTTAAGGCCTATATCTTTATAGCTTTTTAAAAATTGAATTGGCATAATACAAATTTATTATGTGTTATTTGGTAAAAAAGGCTGCCTGTTCGGTGGGACAAGAGCGTGATAGTGGTGATGAACGAGGTGCGTGTTAGCAGTCCATATCTTGCTGAATCTGTTACAGGAGGAACTCCTGCTGCCAATGAGCGAGTCAGGAAAGTGGTAAGAAAGTTACTAATTATTATTATTAATTAATTTCCAACAAAAATCAAATAATAATTAGTAAGAAAAAGAGTATATGTTTAATTGTTGAATTGTTTTCTTCAGCTTGAGCTTGAAAGGAGGAGGTTGCAAACTCGTGGATCTGGTCAATGAACACCAGGAACATGAACAGGAAAAATATTAATATTTGGAGGTAAGGTATCAAAAAGTGATAAAAAACACTAAATTAACCAAAGTTTTCCATTTCCATAATTTCTTTGTTGTCACTATTTTATTATCATTCAGTCCAATGAATATTTTCTCCCCTCAAATTAAATTATGTTAATCTTGGGTTTGAATGCTTGGAGAGATGTTTACAAAGACATGCTCTTATGTTATGCTCCTGCTTTTGGTTAAAAAATTTATATAGAATAAAGAACAAAGTTATTAAAAACATGAAATCAACATAACTAAACATCACCCAGACACCCACAAATTAATTTGTTTGAATTTTTTAACCTCTAATGTTGATTGAAGTAGTAATGGTTTTCTATTATGAGAGTTTTCATTTGCAACATGCGGTAGTTACACTATCTGAAATATACAATTATACGTATACAACAATAATTCTGATATTTTGCATGTTGGATCAGTGTATGATGCTCTTAGTATATTACTATATTTATGTAGTTGGAGAAACATGGATTCAGAATTTTAGATGCCCCAAAGTTAGCTTGAAGGACCCAAATCCGTTTTATCAAATTCATTCTTATTTAAGAGTGTGGATGAGGATGACATTCGCTTTGAGAGTGTTTGAGGATACACACACAATCCATATCATCATCAAGT